TTTTAAACTTAATGAGAAGAATAAAATACAAAGAAGTTATTTTAAGATGGTTATCAATCAACTGAAGGGAGACAATATATAATATTGAGATTATCATATCAATGATGGCTTATTCTATTTTAAGAAGAGAATTTATGTACCTAATAATAGTATATTTTAAATATGCATACTTTAAGAAGGACACAATATGCCAATATCTAGACACCTAAGATATAAGAAGATTATAGAATACATCTCAAAAATATGATTTTGAACGAGTTTGGATTATAATGTATGAGCTTTTGTGTATTATTGTGAATCATGACAACATAAAAAAATCACTTAATGTAATATTTCTTGGGCTATTATAGCAAATTTTATTGTCTATGGCATGTTGAAAGTAGGTAATTATTGATCTCATTATGTATTTGTTGCAAATGCCTCACAATCATACTATGTTTGCTGTCATTATAGATCATCTTTTGAAGCAACTTCACTTGGTTGTATTACACTATGATATTGATGCTCCAACACTTGCATGAATCTTCTTTGAAACTGTCTTTTGTCTCTAAAGATTACCTCATATCATCATTTTAGATCAGTGTCGAAGTAGAGAGAATTTGTCTCAAGAAAGCACTTGGCTCTTGGCTATCACTAATTACTGAATCAAGCTTCAAAATAAAAGAAGCCCTAAGTTTATATATAAAATTTTCCTTTTTGGAGCAATCACACCAAATACATAAGCCTCAAGTAACCAACAACATCCAAAATATGATAAAATCCTCTAAAACCTTGTATACCATTATGTGGAAATTTTCCTAAACTTCAATACCTCACATCTCCTGATCCGACCGTCCAAACTCACTCAAATTTTACATAAAGTAGTGATGTATTCTTATCAACTTCTATAACAAATTTCAAGTACAAATTCATTGCGGATCTTAAGATACCATCAAAATCCTAACAGTAGCTTCAAATCCTAGTTTTTATACACCCACGTGTAATTTTCTTTATATCTCACAAATTAAATACCAAAATGCCACAAAGTTTGTATGTATAGTTTTTCAACACAATTATCTACCTTTTTCAAAAGATTTGAGCCAAAAATTCTTCTAAAAACTCAAGATATGGCTCCAACCATTACTATGAACAAAATCACTTACTTACTACCTTTGATTAGGACGTGATGACTTAAAACCTCTATAATTTCTTCATCCAAACTCCAAATTCATCAAAAAGTATATAAAAAATATAGTCAAGAAAGTTTCCTCTCCAATCCTAATCGCCAAACTTTTGTTGCTCTCTGTAAACATATGTTATTCTCCAAAAAGTAATAGTAGGTATGAAATTGACACCTTAACTTTGAGTACCAATAACTCCTTCATAAAAACTCCAAATCATACAAAATTAGCATCCAATCTGCATTCATAAACCTAAACTTGATGATCCTAGCCTCCAAAGCTCGAATGACTTTGAAGAAGAAATCCTAATCCCTAATAAGGCCTTAGGCAACCTCCTTGAAGTCCATTGGGCATGGCCTTTGACCAATAGGAATGAAAATCCCCATTCCTTGCCTTCATCCAACCATGCCTTGCTTTCATCCCTCCCAATAAGCCTCCTACTAGTTAAGATTTTCATCTTTAGGCTCTAATCTCTTCTCAAGGCTTCATACTAAATATTTAGGTCCTATAATTTTTTTAAATCCTATAATTAAAATAGATAAAACTCAAAATAAAGTTTTTTATATCCACTTTCTTTAAATTAATGTATTAACTATTCTAACATACACCAAGACTTATGAACATATTATATGTTTTAATTATTTTTTATATATTATAAGCAATTATAATACAACATTGGGATCCGTGCTTCATGAGAAGTTTCTAGTAAGCCTTGTTCAAGCCACTAGGCACACAACTTGCCATGTCTATGACCTTTTATTTTCAAACAGATGGACAAATAAAGCATGTAAATTGAATTTTAGAAAATATGCTATGAACATTTGTAGCGGTTCATCATAATGACTATGATGAATATTTGACATCCTTAAAGTTTGCCTACAATGATAATATTCAAGCAAGTATCAATCATTTACTATTCTTTCTTAATGCAGATTAACATCTAATTATATCAATAATTCTCTAATGTTCCATTGATATTAACAATCTAATAACAAAAAAATTTATAAAATGGCTTACAACAACCTTGCAAGAGGTATGACACCATCTTCTTATTGTACAAAATCAACAAAAGCAGTATGCGGATATCCATCAGCAATACAAGACCTTCTAAAAGGATGATTAGGTATTACTCTCCAATGCCAATATTTGACTTGATACATCAACCTAAGTGCATAGGCTAGCACCTCAATGGCTTGAACTTTTTTGAGTTTTTGTAATAATTTTTGATATTGCATATTATCTCAAGCTTTTGTCATATATTTAAGTCCATCCAATCTTCAATGTTTTATAACTCAAGGAGTTTTATATTAAATCAAGGTACTTTCTAAATCAATAATAACCTTAACTACCACCATTGGTTGTAATTGATGATCAACAAAAGAATGAAATAGACAATAGTTTGAAGCATCACTACTTTCACTGTGATAATAGATATTTGCAACTTTAATATAAAGTTCTTTAGAAAGATTATCCCATCCACGATGTAAAGTAAAAACCTTTACAAAACTTCACTCATTGTTAAGAAATTATTTGGAAATATCATTGAAAGTAAAACAAGGACGTTTCGCATTAGTGAAGAGAGATTAGTTGTAATAGGGCATGGATAGGATATTTGTATTATTCACACATAATAATATGTAGTTGGATTTGTTTTTGAAAAGTTTCTAGAATTGTGGTTAGGATGGTGGTTCATGTAGGATCCACCATGAAATCTTTTAGAAAGGCTTAAGATGATTATAACAGTAGATCCCATCTCTAAAGTCTTCTAAAAGGGTAGTTATCTTAGTGGGGTCCAATAATAGAGACATTTTAGAAATTTCTAGGAATATTTGAACAAAGTATAAATAGGACTAGCTGAGGCAATTTGGGCATTAGATCAAGTATGGCTTTAAACACTTTCTCTCAACAAAGTTTGATTGTTTTTTCTTATTCTATTCTATTTGATTTTGTTGGATTCTATTCTTTTTTATTAAGTCATGTCTTTCATGTTCCGTTCCATTTAGTTACTTTCAGTCTTATTTTGGTATACTTTGTCCTATATTGTCGTATTATAATATGATTATATAGTAAAAATATAATCAAAAATAAAAATTTAAATAATATTTAATTATTTTTATTTAATAATAATTTAAGATATTTAAATATGGCTTTTATAAAAGCTTCTTAATTTATTTTCTTCTCTTAATAGTTAATAGATTAAAGGTTGATTAGTAATTTTATCTTCTAGGCTATAGAGTCTCTTTTATTGCCTTAGAAAGACCATAAATTCATAAAATCAAATTAAAAGAGGTAAATAATTAACATAGTTGATACTAGATTTAAGTTCAAAATATGGTTGGCTTCAAAAATCCCTAGGATAGATTAGATTGATACCAAAGGATTGACCATTTGTAAGATAGGGTCGAAATTAGACATCTAGCCACTAAAACAACTGCCGAGGACAAAATAGCAGATCATTCTAAGATCACTAGTTAAAATTGGAGATCTAACTTAGAAATTCTCTAAAGATGTAAGGCTTGTTTTTGTAGGATTTGGTTTGACTTTGTAATTATTGTTCAAATTCAGGGTTTGTATTGGTGATTTAGAATTCATGCAATACAATTAGGACTAGCACACTCAGTTAATTCGTAAAATTGGTATCACATCTATAATTCAAAATTTGGAAATGATGGGTTAATTGGGTGTGCTAAGTATATGTAAAATTTTGTGATAATCTAATAGTGGGGTTGAGAGATATTTAGATTTTGGTACAAAAAGGTATCAAAAGTTGGCAATTTGGAGTTGAGTAGGATTTCTATAATATCTAAAGATCTACTAATTGGATCAAATTAAAATTTGGCATGGTATTAAAAGACTTATAGATCAAGCTATACACCATTTTTGAGTTGAAATTAACAGAATACACCAGATGGATCCTCTTTTTGGTTCAAGCAATAATATAATTCGATACATTCTGTGATAGATAATATGGACATAATATCTGCTACACATCAGCCTGGTTAATTTATTGATAACAGGTATCTTTCACACAGGTTCTTAATCGATACTTTTCTGTATCACTAAGGGTACTCAGTTGCTGGCTCGCCTAGCCGAAAAAATGTGGATACCATCGGATTTCATATTCCTCTACTTAAGGTGTATTGGGTAAATTTACATAAATGTGTACCACCTGATTACCATTTGAGCAAACAGTCTTTCAAGAGACTGCATGTGCACTTGTTACATTAGAAGCTGTGTCCACTTCTGTACTTTACAGAAACAGTCAGTGGCACTTCATTTCATTGAATACTTCGGATTTGGGGTAGGGCTTAAGCAGATCATTCAGAGTTAAGTTCAGGGACGGGCTTCGTGCCGTTTGTCTTCATTCTTTAAGGTCATCACTCAGCACTTCTTAGAGGTTTGCTGCTACACCAGCCGAAGCTATCAGCGCAACATGTTGTCCTCATTGCGATTCACCCTTCTACCAACACCATACGGTCACTCAGTACTTCTTAGAGGTTTGCTGCCACCCTTGCCGTAGCATTCAGCGCAAGATTGTATCCTCATCGTGACCTCCACCCAAACATATCCACCCCATGTTTCCCATTCCATCTCCAAATCCCTCATTTAACGGATATCTATTTTTGTAATCACCATTTTCATGATTAGCATGTTATAATCCTCGGGACTGCTGCGCCACACGCCTCACTCGTGGCTTTTGTCAGACCCAATAATGACCAAAAAGCAGTAATCCGCTATCTGATAAAGTGAGGGTTCTATCACTCTTGGAACTCTTATTCGACTCCACAGCACTGTATCAGCTGAAAAGACAAACTTTAGGTCCCGCACTCTAACATTCCATGGATCAGTAGGCAAAACTCGCTGGTGTTTCTCCACTCATCCAAAAGGATTCTCAGAAACACGGACCAATTGCGATCATCATCTCCAAATTCCTCACCCGCATGCGTGCTCGTATTCTATGGGTAGTACAGTCTGTCACGCCTTCGGCACTCAGTCCTGATTGTTTCTCAAGTCATAGCACTCACATCACCACCATCCAACCCTAAAACCTACCGCACCACCCGGCATGAGCATCATCAGCGACTTAAATATCGGTAATCACAAGCAATCTCATTTTGTTGCAGTATTTTCGTCATCACACGATCTCACACCAAAACACCCAACAACAACCACACGAGACCGAGCACGGGTCAGCAAAGAATGGATTGTGCCTCAAGTTTTTAAGATCAGCGACGGCGAACCGTCTCGCACATCTAATTGAAGTCCTCATCCCCGTAAACCCTAACAACAACTCATTCTAACAAACAAGCCGGCATGTCAAATGAACCTGGGAAACCGAATCAGTTGCGAAACCGCAAGAAAAAGAGGTGCAGTGAAGTGGATACAGAGAGACTACGAGGCAACGCGATGGAAGACGAGATAACTCTGGTGTGAGAGGGTGGCGGCTTTATACAACCACGGACCAACCCACAAAACCCTAAAGCCGACACCGTAAACCTAAGGATACTAAGATTGCATTAAGCATCAAAAGTAGTGCACTGTTCCTACATCATCCATTTTCGTACCATAGCCAACAGCTGTTGTTAGTGAGGTTCAGAACATGGAAAACTCTATCGACTTCCATCATTTGCAATTGCAACAAAGTAGCAACTACAAAAATCCCAAGCAAACGTACTATCCACATCCTTCTTGAAGAACTCGTCAGAACGTTTGCACCCTTGATGCAAACCCTATAGAACATATGCTCATGTACAATCCTATAAAATGTTTCAATAGTGCAATTAAAGATGTTTATTGTTTCCTTTAATGCACAATATATTTTATTTGATGAATTATGATATATTATATGCAATATTTTAGCATATTTGCTTTATGTCATTATAACATATATGAGATTTAATGCTCCTTACATTTTTGTTGCATGCAACCACTTACAATTATGTCAAATCTAACATCACATATCTGTTCTTAATAATTTTTTTAAATTTTTATGTTTATTTTTTCTTTCTTTTATAGTTGACATTCCTAAGAGCTACAAAATTAGAATGATGATTCAATAAATTACTGAAAAATAATAAAAATAAAAAATAAAAAAATTACCTATTCAAGAGCATATATTTAAAATTCTAATTCTTTCACATAAAATGACAATGTCACACCAATATAATTTGCAAAGACTTGAAAAATTTGACATTTGAAAGCAAAGAGTTCCAAATCAAATGTAAAAATATAATTTTGGCTTTTTATTAGGCAATAACAATTACAAATCAAGATCTAGGCATTTTAGATCACATTTTGGACAAAGATTCAAGCCTTTGTGTATAGAGTTTAATATAGAAAGCATGATGAAGGAATTAAATGATTTTTTTTTTGCATTCAAAATTCAAATAAAATAGTTTTAGCATTATTAGAGGTACTCAATTTGGCAATTTTATAATTATATTTTCAAAAAACAAACAATTGATAGAAAAATTTGTTAATGTTGTCAATAATTAATGACTTTGAGTACTATTGTAATTGAAAGTTCATTGTATGTTTGTTTATTTTATACTAGATCAAAAAAACTTGATTATGATACAAATTTGATATTATTTTTTAACATTTAATCTCTTTTCACTTTTAGTTCTTCAAGATTCATGTTTTTGCCAGTTTGACAAGAATACTAACTTATTGTTTTTGTCTTGTTTTAGATGCGAGTAGATTACTCCACTTATATTGTTGTGTTTTGAAGGTTACAAATTATCCATCTTTAAACAAACTGTTTAGCATTCTAATATTGATTTTTTCTTTTAAAAAGCAGATTATCCTTCTTTGTCAAAATTTTTATTTGATATTAGAAGTTGTGGATTACCTTCTTCTAATTTGACTTGTGGATTTGTTAAGTTATTTGAAATCGTAGAAAAAATCATGGATGCTACACTTGGTAGAAGTAAGAATATATTTGCAATTATTGCAAAACTTCACGAACTTATCAACACTTTTAAGATGGAAATTTTACACAGCATAAGCGCAAACCATGGAAACTTTAATCCTATGAATATAGAAGAAACTCAAAATCTGTATTAAGAAGTTGTATAATTGAAGAAAGCAAGTAGATCAACCTCACAACCAAATCTAAGAAGATTTCCTTCTACAATTATACTAGAAACAAGGATTATTATGCCCAAGAAGTTTGATGGAACAAGATTAAAAATTTGAAGATTTTTGCAATAAGTCAAGATCTATCTAAAGTTGTATCTCTTCCAATACCTTCATGGATTTACTTAAGTTAGATTCTTAAGTGCACTTCTAGTAGAAAGTGCCCTTGCTTGGTTTGTACCTTTGATGGAAAAAGATTCACAACTTCTTTATGATTTGAATTCATTCCTTGAAGTGTTTATGACCATATTTGGAGAAAGTAATTAAGAAAGAATAGTAAAGACAAAATGCTTATCTTTCTGACAAAAATCACAAATAGCCACCATATATATTGCTGAATTCTAAAATCTTGCTTGCAACATGGACTGAAATGACAAAGCCTTTATCAATCAATTTTGATCTGGATAAAAAGATAACATCAAAGATTTGTTATAGATAATGCCAAAAATAAAATCTTTAGAACTATTTATTGTTTAAGCCATTGCGTGCGACAATCAATTATTTAAAAGGTATTAAGAACAAAGACTTGGCTAGAAAAGAATAATTTAAATAATGACATCAGCTCTTAAGTTTTTAAAAACTTATTTATTAAGACTCAAACCAATGTAAATTGATATGGTACATTTTAAAAACTTTACAAAATGAGAAAAGACTCAACATTATTAAGAGGGCTTATGCTTGTATTGTGGAGAAGCTAAACATACTATTCAATATTATTTAAAGAAACAATGCAAATACAAAATGAGGAGCATGGCTGCTAAAGAAGATAATGTGTTGAAAAATGAATTTTTTGAGCTACAATAAGAATTAGGCAACTGAAATCTTCTATAATTCATAATAAAGGTTCTATTCTCTTCTCAAATCCTTCACCTTATTTTATAATAGAAATTTATTTAGAACCAAAAAATTATAAAGTCTTAAACTTGGTAGATTCAAGAGGCTCAACTTATTTTATAGATTAAGATTTTGACTAAAAACAAGAAATATTGTTAGTGAAAAAAATAAAAAAAGACAAATAAAAAACTACATTTTAAACTAAATGTCACAAATATATTTATGTAAACCACTAATTACTTATATGATTTAGATAAAAATAGATAAAAATAAATTAATTCCATAATATCTTTTATAGTAGCTTCTTAGAAGCTTCATAGACGTTGCTTTGACTTTATAGGTATCTATAATTTATTTTTTAGGTTAGAAATATAGTCAACAAGTTGGTCATGTGCCACACATATTGGTAGCTTGAAAAATAATCTAACTATATGGCCCACACGTAAAAAACTTGCCTTATAAGCTAAGGCATGTGTCCTACAAAGTCAATATATATGAGAGATCGTATAAAACATCACCACGTAGCTGTTAATTAGATAGTATATATAGAGGCAAGAATAAAATCTTCTTCACTCTTGTCAACTCATTTCTTACTTCTAGTGTAGATTTAAGAGCCTCTAATTTTCTTGTCTTTTGACTATAGCCATTCTAGTTTCTTTTTAATATACATACTAGTTTATTGTTATTTTGTCACTTTTCTTTTAATACAGATTTTTCAAATTTATCCATCTTCTTTCAGTTCATATTCTTGATAGATTAACAAGAATATACTTATAATATTAGAGCTTTGTCTTTTGATTGATTAAGAGTGGATTACTTCTTTTTTTTGATAAAGCATAAGCATATTAGAAGTTATAGATTACGCTCTTTTGAACTAATATTGTTCTTAATATCTTCTTTATTCTTAAGTCTCCTCCTCTGCTTGTCTTGAACAATATTAGAAATTTATTTTCTAAGTATTATTATAGCACAACTTGTTGAAATGAAGAATACAATGACATAAATGCAAGAGTAATTGAAAGAGTTAATGCTTGTGATACATCAACTCTATTTACCACTACAAGGAGCAGCAAGAATGGCAAGAAGTGAAGATGTAGGTATGTTTGGAGTTGTTTCAACATCTACATCCAATCATGTCCCTTCTTCTAAGGTAGAATGCCCTTTTGATATTAGATAACTAAGAATTACCTTGCTTGAGAAGTTTTATGGCATAAGATCTAAGTTTTGATGATTTATCAATCAAGTACAACTTGTGATTAAACGTCAACCTCAAAGCTATCCAATTCAAAGATCACAAGTTAGATTCATTGATACACTTCTTTCAGGTTCAACATTATCATAATTTTTATCTTTTTTTGAATGAAAATATCTAATATTGGATTATTTAGAGCCTTTTTTAGTAGAGTTTCAATCCATATATGGAAAATATGATGTAACTTCTATGCAACCAATAAGATCCATATTTTATGACAAGACAATCAATCCATAATATTATATGCTTTATAATTTTCACAACTTGCAACTCATATCAAGTGAGATGATGCTGCATTTATTAGCCAATTTTTCTATAGATTATAATATGAAGTAAAAAAATTGATGCTCAACTTACCTGATCCTCAAACATTGAGTCAAGCAATTGACTTTGCTGTGAAGAGTGATAATCAACTTTTTAAATTTTAATCTTAAAGTCAAATAAGTAAGTCTCAATATTACTATAATTCAATGGCAATACCAACGCCTCCCCAATACATACATTTCAAAGTAGAAAATATACAAATTGATGCAATATATACATTTCTTAGTGAGCAAGTAAAGACTCATTGCCATCAAAAAAGATTGTGCTTATATTGTGGAGAACCTAAGCACACTGCTCAATATTATCCAAAGAAAGAATGCAATTATAAAATAAGAATTATAAATGTCAAAGAAGCTAATATATTGGAAAACAAATTTTATCTAGCTATAATAAGAACTGTGTGGCTAGAACCTAATACAATACCTAATGTAGGTCATATTCTCTCCTCAGAACCATGTCTTTGTTTTATGTTAAATA